AATCCATTAGGGCTGGTGGCCTGATGCTCTGCATTTCTGATGCTCTGGTGGCCAGCTCCCAAGTGATGCTGACACAGCTGGCCATTTGCAGGCCACACTTTGAGTAGCACTGAACTAGACTCCTCTCTGCCTCCCTTCACCCCCATTGCTCACTATCATTATGACTGTCCATTTTAAAAATATTTAACATGTATTGAACACACAGGTGCCAAGCACTGTACTAGGCATGGGTTTAACCTCCTAAATGTACCAAGCACCAGGTGATTAGCAAGCACTTTCACATCGATTCAAAACATACAAAAGTATCTGCCTATAGAGCCGACATCCTGGTAGCGGAAGAAAGACTTTTAAAAGATATATGAGTAAATTGCAAAAAGAAAGTAATCTTAAATCCGGGAGGGTCTAATTAAGAAGTGACCTTTAAGGAAAGTTTGAAAGAGGATTTATTTCATGTAACCCAAGGTCTCGGGATGCCCTGTCTTTGTTCGCAGCAAACTGCTTCTGCTCGCTGGTCTTCAGCTAACGCCGTTCATTTAGGTCTCCACTCTTTGCCCTGGCTGGCGATTTTCCTTCCCTCTCCCCTTCACGCTGCAGCCAGGTAACTAACTCTTCTAAAAAGCAAACCACGTAACTCTCCCTGCCTAATGTCATTCAAGGGTTCTCCAGTACCTTCAGGATGCACTGCAGATCCCTCAGCACTGTGGGGAGTCAAGGCTCTTGGTGATAAGATTCTGTACAGCCCTCCAGCTCCTCTGCCTCCCGTACATTCCGACCGCTTCCCCCTTCACATTTCAGCTGTTCAGGATTGGGACATGTCAGCTTCCCACTTTGTCCCTCATCCTTACCACCACCACGTCTGCTTCCCTTTCACACAAGGAGAAACACCTTCTGCCTGTCTCGGGAGCGCTCTCCAGCCTCCCCCCCAGAGCTGAGCTTCCTTCCGCACCTGTCCTTTCTCCGTTCCCTGATTCTGCAGATGCCTTCTGACCAGACTGTCTCACCCCACGGTTCTCAGTGTCGGCAGGGTGCTCCCAGAGGACTTCCCTTTTCCTCCAGGGCCTCACTAGCTGGCACCCTCTCTCCAGCCCTTCCCAGACAAGCTGCTGGAAGGAAGTCCTTATGCTTACTGGTCCTATCCTTATCACTTCCTCACCTGAGGTCCATTCTGTGACATACGTCAATCTGGTGCCTGGCTACAGATAAAGAAATGGAGGCACAGAGAAGTTAAGCAAATTGCTGAGGATTGCACAGCATAAGAGGCAGAGCCAGGAATCAAACCCTGGCAGTCTGGCTTCAGACTGTGCATCTTGCCACCATGCTGTACAGCCCCTCACCCACCCAAGGAGGTGGGGATTACAGTAATTCCTGGCCCAGGAATTGCACTATCACATGCAAGCATTGGTAAGGATGTGTTTTTTGACTCCCTAAACAAATTTAGGATTAAACAGTGACAAATTGCAACCTTATTTTCTGTAACATTTTTTGCCCAGAACACTTAATCATCACTGTTGCCAGGCAGCTGAGTCTGGGGAGGTCTCTCCCTGTGCACTAGGTGAAACCTCAACCTGGACAGGGGAGGGTTCTTGCCTCTGACTGAGAAAGAATTCACGAACAGGTCAGACGAGTGTAGGGAAGGAAGGAATTCATTAAAGCAAGAGTGGCAGGGACTGGCAGCAGCCATGCAGGCAGCAGAGAGCAAGGGAGACCAGAGGGAGGACAGTCACCTGGAGCCCCGTGTCTGCTGGAATCTGCACGGCGTGGGAACTAAGTCCCTGCCACCTCAAGATATGGGGGAGCTGCAGAACACTGGATGCAGTGAGATTATATTCGGAGAACTTCCCAAAAGCAAAGAAAGGTGACTTTTGAGCAGACGACTAAAAAAGCATAATCATACAGCTGCAGTACCACCCAGGTTACCCAGGCGACGGGATCCGGCAAGTCCAAATCAGATGTCAGTAGCCCTTCCCTGTTTGTCTGAAGTAGAACAGAGAGAGTGAAGACATGTGCAGAAGTCTAGAAAGTTGCATGAAATAGCGAAGGAACCAAGATGCTTACCACAGGGAATGGGGTTTCTTATTAACCTCCTGAGAGATTGGAAGAGCATGGAGAGAAAACCCAGTAAGTTGAGGAGCAAGAAGGCTTTATTAAAGGCAAAGTACACACTCAAAGAAGAGGGCAGGCAGCCTCAGAGAGGAGGCGCACTTACAGGTTTAGGATTCGCGTCTTTTAGTGAGTCCAAGAGCGGGGTAAGGTGTCACAGGAGCAGGAGGCTGACATGTGGTCGCATGGTGCCTGTCTCCAGTAGTAGAGACATTCTGTCATTATCCATAGTCAGCGCTCTACATATTCTGTAAGATAAACTTAACACAAGGAATTTCTTGTTCTTCTCCAAGATAGCAGTTACCATCAAGCTGTGGGCCATACCATTTAGGACCGCTTGCTCTGCCTTAAGATAATGACAATTGTTGGCTGATTACCACAAAATATGTTAAGAATCTCACCTCCTGACTCCCTGGTTTTTAAAATGCAATCCTAGCCTGAAGATGGAGTCTCTCCTGTTCTTACTACACTATTTATATTTTGGCATTTTTCATCATAGGAAAAATTAATCATGATGCTTGTCTCATGTCCCTGCTCCACCTCTAAACCGCCCCACAGAAGTAGGCAGGGTGGGGAACATGAACTAAAAGAACTTCCTATTTCACAGCAGGAAATGATCAGGATGCAAAGCCTAGACTCTCACCTGGGCTGCAGCTGCCATGGCCTCAAATTCAAGGCCCTGCAGTCATCTGACTCCAGGCACGGCAGATGGACATGTGCTGAATGCTGGCTGTTATCTGATAGATCCAGAGAGATTAGGGCCTTGGTGACCTTCAGGTAATGAGATCAGTCAGCCTGCGGGCACAGTGCCACATTCATATCTGGGCAGCCTCGGCCTCCTTTGGTCATCAGAGCCAGCTGCTGGAGGCTCATCTGCCGCAGTTCGGTCTCTGAAGAATAACAAGTATGTGCTCCCTTCATTTTGAGAGTCTAAGCATGAGAGTGTGTCAGGGAAGGAGGAAAATCATTTTGGGATCCTCCAGAAGTTGAATTTTCTGCCTTGTGGATTTGCAGGCTCTGTCCAGTTAGGGTTAACCAGCAGGGAGCCTCTAATTAATGCTGATCTGTAGAGTGTCCCCTGGAGGCAACTAGCGGGAAGAGCCACAGTGGACCCCTAGCTGGCAACCTTGAGCAAGTCGCTGAGGGCCCCAGAACGTCCCTGTTCCCTGACCACTCTAATCCCGAGGATCACTGAAGAAAAGGGAAGATGCTGCTTTGTAGACCATAAAGTGGGAGGCGTACGTGACCCGCTTTCTTGTCAAAAGGACCAGTTTATCTTAGCCCAGCTCTTTAGCCTCCAATCTCTGCTATCATTCCCTTCCTCACTGGCCGTAGGTCCAAATTCCTGGATCATTAATGAAACAGATTTTGCCTGAATCCCCAGTGAGGTGCTCAGGGGTGCTTGCTATTGAGATGGGGGACCCAAAAGAAAGAAGGGAAAAGCAGGGCCTGTCCATGGTCATGTGGCCCTTGAGCCAGTGTCAGGGGAAGACAGAAAGCCCGAGGACAGCTTTCAGCAGGAAGGTTTCTATTCATTTTTATTCTTAATATACACACGGAAAAGGCACGTTTGTGATGAATTTGCACAAAGTGGACACACCTATGTAACCACTGACCGGCTCAAGAATCATGACCAGCCCCCTGGAAACCCCCCCAGGCCCTTCCCAGTCTCTGCCACACCCATCCTGACTTGTAGCACTCAGACTGGTTTTTGCCTAACTTTGAACTTCAAATATGGATTCAGCCAGGTCTTCTTTCACTCAGTTCTATGTGTGTGATTCGTCATGTTGATGTTAGTAGCTGTGGCTGGTTCATCCTCTCTGCTGTATATACAATCCCACGTTGGATCACAGCTGAGCAGTTCTGATGATGGGCCTGAGGGTCATCTCCAGTTTTTGGTGTGCTATGAATGTTCCAGTCCATGTCTCTTGGTGAGCTTATGTACACTTTCTTTTGGGTATAGACCTGGAGTGGAATGACTGGGTGGTAAAGTGGGCATTTGTTCAGCATTAGTGGATACTAGCAGGAAGGATTTAAGCACGCTATTAGGCAGGACTTCCAGATCCTAAAGATTGTGGCCAGCCGGCTCGTGCCTCCAAAAGCAGGGGCTGGGAAGTTTCCTTCGGAAAACAGAAGAGGCTGCATCAGGCTTCACTTGGCTGGTGGGGGTCAGCCGTTGGCTCCTGCTTCTGTCAGGTTTTGTCCCCAGTCCTTAGTCTGGGGTTCCCAGACTACACCTCTGGGACATGTCTGAGGCACTTGGGAGGGGTGGGCAGGGGGCTGTGGGCGGCATCTCCCCGCTTCAGCCAGAGCACTCTGTGTCCTCAGTTTTGCATAGTGGGGTTATGAGAGTGACCTCATATGTTTTTCAAAAAAGTTATAGCTGTTTTAATGTTTGAAAATCCACTCTTTTAAGGTCCCTTCCAGCTGGAAAATTCTATTTTGGGAGCAGGAGGTGGATGTGGGAAGGGTTAAGTATTATTCAGTCAAAGAGCAGGGTTGGGCCTCGCGACCTTTTAAAGTTCTTATAGCTTGGCCTGCAATGCGGGAGATCTCATAACATTCTATAAAAATAGTGTTCAAACAAAACAACTCCGCAAGCCTAAAGGATAGAGAGGAGAGGCCCAACTTTGGGGAACATTTAGGTAACTTTTCAGCAAGTCTTGAGGACTCTCTCCCTCACCAGCCCCGCTCCTTTAAAAAAATTTTTTTTTTTATTTTTTTTTTACTTCTCATTTGGCCAGTCCTTGTGGTCACTTAGGGCTGTTTGGGTTCAGAACAGTTCCCTTTTTTGCCAAGGCATGGGCGACCTGTGGGTGGCCTCTGTGTCCCTCTTAAGGGTGACGTCCTTCCTCTTCTCCAGCATCGGGCCTAGTTTGGATTCGTAGTTCCCCTTGATGAGGGAGGCCACGCTGTGGCTGCCCTCTTCGTGGGCCAACAGAGACACATCTCTGCCTTGGCACAGAGCTCTGAGTCAACAGGCCAGATAAACAGCCCATTTCCTGGGGCCAGCACGGAACAAAGCCCCTGGCTGCTGCAGGATCTGGCTGCCCCCCTCTTCCTGAAACAGCTGTTGATTCTTTTGACAGGAGCTGGAACACAGCACCTTCCCTTCCTCCCAGCCCTGCCTCCTTCTGCAGAAGGGAGCTCAATAGAACTTTGTTGTTTCGCCTTTTACTCTGCGAGGAGAGAAGCAGACAATGAGGTATGTGAAATGCTGCAATGATTGACCCCTGTTTGAGGGTCGGGGGCCTGGATCCGTCTGGTAGAGGAACCCCGCTGTCGCCCTAACCTCTTGCTAGTCCGCTCAGTAGTTCTGCAGGAAGACAAAGCCCTTGGCTCCCCTGCACTGGATCTAGCAGTGGAAGCTGGCAGGATGCTGGCTCAGGGACTTTACTGTAAGTTCCGCTTTATTTGGTTCCCCGGCAGGACCTCACAGGGCTGCATCAGGGCTGTGGCTTGGGGTTTTCTCTGCACCCGAAGTGACGGTGCAGGGACTGGCAGTGGGCGGATGCAGAGCCCTCCCAGGGCAGTACACACTCTTCGTTTACCTTGCCTTATTTCTTTGGGAAAAACCCTTGCACAGTGATTTCTGGGCCAGCAGTGAGGAACAGCTGGGTGGATTCAGGGTCCAGAATTCCTGGAGGCCCTTCAGAAAAAGGCGCTACAAGATGTACCTCAGGTTGTTCCCCTTGCGACAGCTGGAGCTACAGTTAGTGGGGTATTTAGTCTGAGACTGTCTCTGGTTTCCTCTGTCTGTGTTTACTCTGACCCTCATAATGAAAACCATCACTGGAAGCAGCCATCTATACACTTTTTTTTTCTCACAGATTGTATGGTGTTGCTTCCGATGGGGAGCATTTCCGTAATGCCTGCTGCCAGTTTAGAGAGGTTTCAGGCTGGAGCAGCTCTTGCCCTCCTCACCCCCAGCTCCAATCCCGTGCCAAGAGCTGGGCCTGGGCAGCAGAGGGTCTGCTCTCCACACTCTGCGGCCCCTTCTGGGTGAGCCCAGGGATCTCAGCCTTCGCTAACACTTGGTTTCCTTAGTGAAAAAGCCACTGCACTGACCGTGAGGAGGGATGAACAAGGTGGAGTGAGGAAGGCCCAAGCTAGGCACCCAGGAGGCACCTGGAAGCGGCAGAGGAGTTGAGTCAGTGCTCACCGACTGGTCCAAGGAGAAGCCAGTCCCTCAGGGAGTCTAGCCTGTGGCTGGCTAGCTTCAGGTCGATTGCTGTGTGATAATCATAAAAGGCGCAATGAGATGTGCCAGAGAGACCTAGGTGACTAGTTCGCAGATAAGCCTCCATGTTTATTGAGATCAGAGTGGTTATAAGGGTGAGCACTAGAGGCCAGCTCCCTGGACCTGAATCCCAGCTCTACCACTTTATGCTGTGTGACACTGGGCAAATTACTTAACCTTTCTGAGCCTTCATTTTTTCTTTTGTAATATTTATACATTTTTTATTTAATTAGGTATATAATCAATTTATTTGTATTTACATATTGTTTCCTTTCTGCCACTTGCAATCATGGTTAGGACTTCTTGTACAGTGTTAGATAGAAGCATTAGCAGCAAACATATTTTTTTATTATTATTAAGGTATCATTGATATGCATTCTTATGAAGGTTTCACATGAAAAACACTGTGGTTACTACATTCACCCATATTATTAAGTCCCCCCCTGTACCCTATTGCAGTCACTGTCCATCAGTGCAGTAAGATGCAGTAGAGTTACTACTTGTCTTCTCTGTGCTATACTGTGTTCCCCGTGACCCCACACACACACCATGTGTGCCAATCATAATGCCCTTCAATTCCCTCCTCCCTCCCTCCCCACTCGGGTACCCTACTCCACCCCTCTGCTTTGGTACCGCTAGTCCCTCCTTGGAGTCTGGAGTCTGCTGTTGTTTTGTTCCTTCAGTTTTGCTTCATTGTTATACTCCATAAATGAGGGAAATCATTTGATACTTGTCTTTCTCTGCCTGGCTTATTTCACTGAGCATTATTTCACTGGCTTATTTCCTCTAGCTCCATCCATATTGTTGCAAATGGTAGGATTTGTTTTCTTCTGATGTCTGAGCCTCCATTTTTTCATTTCTGTAAAATGGAGGCAATATTAGAGTGACTTCACAGGATCATTGAGAGGCTGAACTGAGAAACTGCCGATAAAGCATTTAGCCCAGGGCCTGTCCTGATTCAGCTGGGGAGTGTGTCCCAGTGACGTAGGACCTGAAGCTTATTCAATGTTCAGGGCCCTCTTTTAAGAAAAAGAATGCCACGTTGCAAATACAATAGTAGGCACATAAGTGAATATTTAGAATATGAGAAGAGATATCAAACTGATAAATACTTCACATAAGGCAAAATCCAGAGAACATCATCATATAGTGATGTGAAGATAACATAAAATGGTCATTTAGCTGTCTGGTGCACCTGTCACACTTTGGCTGCACACTCTTGGATTGCCTCTTTATCTGATGATTTTGTAGTATCATTGTCAAGAAGACAAATCAGTTTTGTCTCTAGCATGGTTAATCAAAGCCTGCCTTTTACTACTGAGAGTTCAGAGAAGTTTCTTTCAGCTTCACAGCTTGTTACTGGTGAGGCCACATCTGTAAATCTTTTGGCAGCTTCTTGCACAGGTGGCTCCAGCCTGAGCGCCAGGAACTCGGCTTGTTGATTCTGGATGGGGTGGGATGGGCGGGGGTGAGGTGGCTGTTAGGCTTAGATCAAGGTGACCCTTCCTTGAGCAGGGAGCCGAGCAGCGTCTAGTTCAGCCACTTTTCCTTAGGATCATAGCGGACAGCTCCTAGGTGCTCAACAAATTCTACCTGGAGCAGATTGTCACAGGGACCCAAGTGGGTATACAGATAGTAGGTTCAATCTCTTGGCCCTTCCTGCAGCCCAAAGACAGGCACCAAGACTAGAGTGGTTCCTTAAGACAGGGGCTGCACTCCTGGTCTCTGGGAAGCAGTTGGGCCTCACCCACTCCCCACCCCAGCAGGGGATCAGGCCAGGTCTTGCAGGGGGCTTGATGCCTAGGCTTCATTATCTTCTGGGTAACTCAGCCTCTGCACTCAGTGGGTGCTGACTGATAAGCTTATCATTTGATCATCACTTCAAGGAACCCATGTGGGCAGTGCAGCAGGATGAGCTCCATGGGGGTAAGTGAACTGCCTTTCCAGCCCTGGGGTTGATTTCTTATCCACATCCTGGGCCAATCAGGAAGGCCTGTTGTGGAAAGTTAAGTCCAAAGAATTTGTTTCACAGATGAGGAGACTGAGGCCAGAGAAACCGTGGCCTGGTTTACAAAGCCGGCTCTGTGGGGCGCTGGGGCCCAGTTGTGGGTCTGCTACAAGTAGGGGCATCACCTTCCTTCCCTGCCCAGTTGAGCTCTGGGCAGTGGGGGTGAACGCGATGGGCAGCAGGGCCTTTGGCTGGGGAGCTGGTGATCCCAGTAGGCACAGGGCGACAGGCTCAGCTTCGACTTCCCTGTGTGGTGCTGCCCAGGAGGACTGACTCCTCAGAGCCTGCACATGCCTGAAGGTCTACTATTAAAAAGCATTGCCATCGTTTTGGCTGCCATTTGCGGAGCATGCCTGACCACCAAGCACGATGTGCTTCATAAACAGTCTCCTTTTGTCCTTTCCGGGACCCTAGAGGGAGGTGTTTGAAGGTCCACTTTGAGTATGTGAATAGAGGTCAGAGGACTTGCGCATGGTATACTCTGGGACTGCTGATTTAAGTCTTAGCTGGCCTCATTTCTACCTGGAATGCCAGATCTGAACATTAATATGGGGAGGATAGGGTGCAGTAAAGATAAGGGTTTTGTCCAAGGTCGTGAAAACCCAGTTAGTTCCCTCCTCCTCCCCACCCCTTACCGGCTTTGTCTGCGTGTGCACTCGGCTCTACCCACATGTAACCGTCCCAGTCTCCAGAGAGTCCAGATGTGACCGAGGCTGGAGCTAGTGGGGGTGCGCGGGGAGGTAGGTGCGGGTGGGGGTTCCAGGGCAGAGGAGGGACTGCGGGCAGGAGGAGCCTGCAGGAGAGTTTAGTCTCCTTGGCCTCTGCCTTACCCCTGACCTGATTCCTGCTCTCCCCAGATAATAGCTTTTCCAGGCTCTGAGCACTCTGTTATTTAGCTGAGACTTTCACCTTTTCCCTTGACATGAGATGGAGAAAACAAGGCCCACTATAATTCTTTTCAGAGAGGAATTCTGTTTGGAAGGAATATCTGGGCTTAGCCCAGTTGGGGTGGAACTGAGATTCTCTCAAGTTGTGCGTGTGTGCCTGTGTGCATGCGCGCGCGCACGCATGTGTGTGTACTTTGTGGGACAGGTTGTGGGTGGGTAAGGAAGAATTTATTTATGGGCCACATGGAAAAGTCTACCTGATACTCTAGGGAAAGCAGCAGAAAAGGGAGAGGGGGAAGGACGGAGCAAGGGAGGTGTAGAAATGACAGGCTTTATGTGACCCTTCCTTGCAAAATGCCCCCAGATTTTTAGCACAGTCTGCACCAGTCCCAGGAGAGAATGGGGGGTGGGAGTGGTTTCATTTGGGAGTGGTTGCAGGGGCTGAATTCTGGGAGTGGCCGGGAAACAGCTCAAGTGCATGGTAGGATAGATTCTGAGAGAAGTCACAAGCACCAAGACGAGAGGGGCCTAGAGGCCAGGGGATGGGGGTGGGGGTGGGGGGCGCTGGTGCAGTTCATTCCGAGGGGTGGGGCCCATGGCCTGCAGGCACACTCGCTCACTGGAGATGGGGTGTTCACATCAGCAGATCCTAATTCTGTCCTCTCCCCTTAAATGAGGAATTTAGAGGCAAGGCCATGTTTCTACTCGGTGGATAAGATAGTCAACCACCAATCAGCAGAATTAACACAGTTTGAAAATTCTGAGAGGCAAACACATCAGAGAAGGACTTTTAGACACTGGCTACCAAATGCCTCATTTTTGTCCAGAGAGAAAAATAGAACAATTTTAAAAAATCCGTTGACCTCACGGCCAACTCTTCCTTCCCTGGAGACGTGGAGTCCAGATTCCAGGAAGCATGTATACACCCATTCCTAGTGCTTTCCAAAGGACGCAGTATTGGCTCATTTGGGCAGCTTCTGTTTGTAAGTGTCCAATGAGAATGACGACAGGCCAGAGCAGAAAGTAAGCAGATTCAAGCGATTTATGGAGTCCAGAAAGAAATGGGCTTC